TAAATCGTTAAAGACACCTTGTGTGTTTTGAAAGCAGAGACAGATTAGATATACTAAAGTAAAATGCCAGTTCAACAAAATGCGCAATTTTTGCATAATACAGTCCCTTCTGCTTCTAATTTCACGTGCCCATGTTCTCTTAATCTTTGGAGGTTCCAAAGACTAAAACCTTCCTTTAAAAAGGAGACAGCTGCAGTTCTTAGGACACTGGATTCTGCGGTCGACCATTTCTGCACTTGCACACTGCAATTACAGAAACTGACAGAACGGACACAGCCGTGAGCGCTGGGAAACATCGGTAGCTATTTTGCACTGCAGAAAACCATTTCTAGGCCTTGGGAGGGAGCTGTGTATACTCTGCTAAAAATAAATAAATAAATAAAACATACACACCCACACCCAAACTAGGATATTTCAAATTCTGCACTCATAGGAATGTAGGAAATTGCCTTATATCAAGTCAGATAATTAATCCAACTCACTCACTCCTGTTTACACTGCGTTTAAAGTTTAATGTCAAAGTGAACTGAGATCCATAGAGCAAATCACACAAAGGCTTAGGCCACACAAACAGCAGACAAGGCAGTAGCCGTAATTTTTAAGAACAGCATCTCCAAGGATCAGGCCAAAAGCTTATCTGGTCCAACATCTCCCTTCCCACAACAGCCAATAAGATGCCTCTGGAAAGCCCATGAAGAGGACATGGGCTTCCAGCACCTCTTCAGCTGCAACTGTTCTCCTGCAAGTGAAAGTCAGAGCCATGGTGGTATACAGACACCTACCTCTGGTTTGCAGCCAAGTTATTGTTTTTAGATGGTAGTTCATTTTCCTTTGAGATTGTGAGGTGCCCCTGAGCTAAATATCTTTAATATGCGCCAGGTAGAATAAATATTCCCAGACTATGTTACTAAGAGAGAGAGATTGACTCATTGCAATCAATTATTTCTTTTTTAAAAAGTCCCTTCACATGCAAAACTTGAACAGTAGGAGTTGCTTTCTACCAGTCAGGCCATCCAAGTCTTGTCTGCTGTGGCTGGAACTGGCTCTCGCCCCCATCCTCCCACCAGGTTCTCAGACAGGAATCTCTCAGCCTTACTTAGAACAGAAACACAGAATTGAAAGGGACCCCAAGGGTCAACTTTGCCAACCCCCCAATGCAGGAATCTCAACATGCAGTCTCCCATCCCATTTGAAACCACGCTGGACCTTGCTTAGCTTTCCAAATGTACTAGCAGCTTTATTGCCGTGTCTCTAGAATACAGGGACTGATACCAGGCTCTTATGAGTGCATGCGCTCTTCTGCTAAGCTGGGGGAAGACTAGGCTACCTACTCTCTCAGACATTTTGTTTTCTGCGTGCAGGGAGGAACGTTCAGCCACATGACTCCCCAACTTGCAGTCTGAAATGGCACATGATGGGTGAAATTGCATGAGGAATCCTGGGTGCCTTTTGCATTCAGCCCTGAGGGTTTGTGCCCTCTGGTGAAGGGACCAGAGCCTTCCGACCCGCTGCCCTGTGATCTCTGGGTTGGGTTCCCTCTAATAACATCCTGGCCAGCCTTTTCCAGGGACATTCCTTATAGCTACAACTAATCCAGAATGCGGCAGCTAGACTGGTGACTGGGAGTGGCCGCCGAGACCACATAACACTGGTCTTGAAAGACCTACATTGGCTCCCAGTACATTTCCAAGCACAATTCAAAGTGTTGGTGCTGACCTTTAAAGCCCTAAATGGCCTCGGTCCAGTATATCTGAAGGAGCGTCTCCACCCCCATCGTTCTAGCCAGACACTGAGTCCAGCGCCGAGGGCCTTCTGGTGGTTCCCTCATTGCAAGAAGCCAAGTTACAGGGAACCAGGCAGAGGGCCTTCTCGGTAGTGGCACCCACCTCCCACCAGATGTCATAGAAAAGAACAACTACCAAACTTTTAGAAGACATCTGAAGGCAGCCCTGTTTATGGAAGCTTTTAATGTTTGATGTATTACTATATTTTAAAACTTGGTTGGAAACCGCAAAGAATGGCTGGGGAAGCCCAGCCAGATGGGCGGGGTATAAATAATAAATTATTATTATTATATTATTATAGCTCAGCGATGTTCTGACACCCAGAAACCTCGCCTTCTCTACCTCACCAAACTCCGCCCCACTTAAACATTGCTCAAGGTCCTTCTCCACCTGGTGGGGTCCTTTTACGTACCATGCCCTATCCTGCAACTGCTTACTCCATGGGATGTGTTAGTAGGCTGACCGTATCCACTTTGTTAGCTGAGAAGCAAGCGGGGCTTAGCAAAGTGTAGGAATGATCGCTGGGTGTGGAGCACACTCCCCGCCCCCCGAGCTGTCTGAACATCTTGCCCTCTATCTAACCTTTTGCTCTCTTAGTAGTCTGATGTGCCCTGTCTGTGACCTTTGTCTCCTTCGTCATACATTGTGCAACGGGAAAATGACACGATGGAAACAGGTGCCAAAATAACTTTGTACCACCCCTCGATCTCAGGATTGGAAGATGTGTAAAGGTCACAGTCCAAAATGTATCTGCCTGGTTTTGCATATTGTGCCAATAAAAGGAGCCTCAACAGAGCTAGCTGGCAGCTTGCCTGTGCACAGCTCACCTGCATTACCAACTCCTGCCTCATGTCCTTCACTTCAGCAGAGCACTCATTCCAGCTTCAGTGCACAGGGCTGACACTACCGCTGGGCAGAGTTAGGCCGCTGGTTTCAGGTGCCATGAAAGCAGGGGCGAAACTAGGCATGATCTCACCCAGGTCAAAGACACAGTTTGGCACCCCCAGGCACAGGCTGAGAACCTTAATGGAGCAGCCTTTCTCAGCCTTGGGTCCCCAGATGCTTTTGGCCTACAACTCCCATCATCCCTGACCACTGGTCCTGTGAGCTAGGGATCATGGGAGTTGTAGGCCAAAAACATCTGGGGACCCAAGGTTGAGAACCACTGCTCTGGAGGCTTCACCCAGGACAAAAAAAAACCAACAGTTACCCAGCAGCTACAGCACTGCATGTTGTGATTGTATATTAAACTGCTACAGAGGGCAGTTTTCTGTCTCAGGTGTCAAAATAACTTGCCCCTTAATTGGGGGGGGGTGTTCCTGTACAGCTTGAGATCAAACCAGAAATGATGCAGATCCCTTGCTTTTGGCAGGAACTGCCAACCCAACTTCTGGCACGGAGCCATGTCCTTTGCCACCAGGAGTCAGGCAGGTGGGAGAAGCTTTAGAGAAACATGTGGGTTCTCCATTCCTGATTTACTATCTGAGGAGGCTACAGAGCAAATAGAAGCAGCACCACAGCACCAAAGTCCTGCTTCCCATGGGCTTCTGGTTGGCCACCACCAAAAGAGAAGGTTGGACTAGATTGGCCTTTGGCCTGATCCTGCAAAGCTCTTAGGCTCTTGTTCTACTAGGAACATAGAAAACTGCCTCATACCAAGTTAGGCCAACACAGCTTCTTGCTCAGTGAGGCAAGGGTCTTGCCCAGTCCTGCCTGGGAATGGCATTGGCGCTGGGACTGTCTGCATGCCAGCCATGTGCTATGGCCCTTTCGGCAATGAGATGTGTGTTGTAGGAGCATCAAGATGCATCCCAGAGAGTGAATTTTTAGAGAAGTGGGGAGGACTGAAATCTGAAGACTAGCATTTCATATTCATATACATATTTTTAAAAGACATCCCTAAAATCTCTCTCCGGAAGACAATCCTTTATTCAAGGACAGGTACCAGAAAGCAGGGCCTCTCCCAGATAAAAAGGGGTGACTGGAGGCTACGCAAGTAGTTTGTGTGCAGCCTATTTCTGGGACTGGGCACAGCTCTGCTATTTGCGCAAACTAAGCCAAACTCTGACACAGAGATATGGCACTACCTTATGGCTGTAATTTATCATGTTGTGTCCCTAGATTTTACTAAATAAAATGTCAGATCCCGAGCACTGAAATATTTAGCCAATTAGAAACATTTGTTTAAAGGGGTGTTCCAAATTTATCAGGCAGATTTTTTCATTTAGAAAACCTAACTACTTAATAGAAGTAGTTCGAAAAACCAGGGCCAGATTAGAAGGTCCCAGATTAGAAGAGACATCTCCCCTTATTTTTCTTACACACAGGAGGAAAGGTCTCTTCTAAGATGAGGTCTACTGAGATATGTGCATGCATCATCTAAAATGAAAACGATGTCCTCTTCCAGAGCTATTTACAGTGGTGCCCCGCAAGACAAATGCCTCGCAAGACAGAAAACCCGCTAGACGAAAGGGTTTTCCGTTTTGGAGGTGCTTCGCAAAACGAATTTCCTATGGGCTTGCTTTGCAAGACGAAAATGTCTTGCGAGTTCCTGCAGGTCCCCCCCCCCCTTTTCCCAAGCCGCTAAGCCGCTAAACAGCTGATCCGCTAAACAGCTGATCGCTAAGCCGCTTATCAGCTGATCCGCTAAGCTGCTTAACAGCTGATCCGCTAAGCTGCTAATCAGCTGATCCGCTAATAGCGCTAATCCGCTAAGCTGCTAATGGGCTTGCTTCGCAAGACGAAAAAACCGCAAGACGAAGAGACTCGCGGAACGGATTCTTTTTCGTCTTGCGAGGCACCACTGTATTAAGAATGCAACTATATTTAGCTTTACTTGAGCAACCATGAATCCATGTAATCAGCAGGCAGACCCCTATTTCTTCCTAAACCCAGCTGTGGCTTTTGGTTGTGGCTACTTTATGTTGTCAGGGGAAAGCATCACGAACCCAAACAGCTTTTATTACTTTCCGTGTTCCAAGGCTAAATCCCTGCACTGGAAAAGGGTTGTTCTCCAGATCCTGGCTCAAAATCAAGCCTTGACCCCTTGTCTACCTTAAGGCTGACCAAGAGCCCCAATCCGATGAAGGTCCTCCCCCCCCCCGGCGCCCCAAATACCACCCCAAGCGCCTTCCAGTGTTAATAGGGTTAGACATGCAGTGAGTGAGGCAAAGGTCTGCCCTTTCCGAGGCTTCCTCAATCATTAAGCAATACGGCTAAATAAATACACTCTCTTTATTCATCTGTGGTTCATGTACATTGGCAAACGGTACAGGCTTTTTTTCTGTAAAAAAAGCAGGATTCATAGAAAATGATCAGCAATCTAAAAACCTTATATATATATATACACACATACCATGTTACTTTTGATTATCTTCCCACCCCAACACAAAACCTGACTGATACGCCTGATGCCAAAAAACCCTTTCTAGGTTTAGTGACCCCCACAAAACATCGCTCCAGCAGGAACAGAATGCGTAAGGATTCTTATAAAGGCAGCTGCTCTCCCACCAACCCTCCATGAGCAGAGCTGGGGAAAGTGAGGCACCAAAATGGACACGGCTGCCACCACCCGAGTCCCCCAGTGCCCCCCCCCGCTCCTCCATGGCTTAACCCTTCAGGCTCCAGTTTGCACAACTCGGTGATCCACCAAGCTGAGCACAGCCCACCAATCATGTATGGCAGCTCATGAGGGGATCTGCGACCTGCTTTGGCTGCTTGCCTGGAACCGAAAAACTAGCAGCCCTCAAATGCATGGCTGCACTACAGTCAGTGGGCCTTACACTGTGCAGGCTGCCGAGCTAGCGAGGAATCCTGGTTGCAATTTAGACCCACCCAATGTTCTACGCTGAAGGGTATGAAAGAATCTGAATGGTGCCGATTTTCAGCTTTCTGCCCCACCCCTAGTGGCAGCCATTGGATTCCAGAGTATCTGGCGTTCAAGTCTTGGGTTCCCAGGTACCTCCATTGAGCCACAGCATAAGGCAAGTGTTGATGAAGATTTCCCACCTCCCATCTGTGCAAGTCAGTCCTCTGTGCACTGTCAACAAGGGACATCCCTGTCCCATCACCCCCCACAACTGCTGCTACTTCAAGCATTAAATGACACAAGCAGATTGCAGTTTGGTTCTGCAGTGTCTTCCACAGGAAAATCTTCATTAGTAACTAGTGATTCATGCTCCCCCTCCATTTACCCAGTGATCCTCAAAGACTATAGACACTAAATACATGCTGAGGGCAGGAAATAATTAAGGTTGCCTAGAACCCAGCTCCAATCCTGCTATGATCCAGTAGTTCCAACTATCCACCCAGAGCTACAGAAAGAAGAGAACCAGGGCTTCTAGCAGCCCCCTCCCTCACTACCAACTTCCTATCCAGTTCTCCTCTCCTCTCAATTTTTCTCACTTCACAAACATACAAGTTCTGCCACTCTCACCCTCCCACAAGCACACACACTCAGAACGCTTCTCATTTAATTTTCATCTACTACAGTAGATTAACTTAACAGATTCCCAGTGGCCAGTGGTAAGCAAGCAAAATCCTACCACTTCAAAGGTGGCGTTTTTAAAAACCCAAAATAACCCAGAACATTTGTATGCTCCACAATGGCAGATGAGGTCTCCTTCCACCCTTCTCTGCTTATGCACAGCACGTGATCTCCACAGCAACATACACATCCCCTTCAGTGGCTGTATGGGATCCTTCATTCAGAGTGTTCATACAAAAATACACCTCTTTGTGAATTTGCTCCCTGCTGACCAAACAAGAGGGAGTTTTGTGGGTCTCAAGGCAAAGGACCCAGGTGATTCCAAAGCAGCTTTTGCCCTTCAGCTGCTTCTGTTGGTGGGGCAGGGATTGTCCCTAGACAGGGATAGTGGAGAAACAGACAGAACATTTAAGAGTCAGGGAGAAGCTGGAGAAGTTGAGTTGGCAATGGAAGAAGTGGGATGGGGGCGGCGTGGAAGAGAGTGGGTGAGTGGTCAGCACAAAGTTAGGGGGGGCAGAAGAAGAGATGAGCACGAGGCAGGAGAGAATCAGAGGCGGGATAGATTTAAATTGAAGGGGGAGGACAAGTGTTGTGGAAACTTCACAAGAAACCAAAAACAGGTATGGAGGATGTGATCTTTTCTTCTCAATTGACCAACACTGACTTGGACAGGAAGCCATCTGTAGTCACAGAAGGAAGTTCCTTGCTCTGTGCTGCGTGGCCCTGATGCTCTGTAGCTGTCCCCGCTAAGGAGCGGCTGGCCAAAGGTCCCTTGGGCAAGCTGTATAGATAGACAGCCCCTATGACCAGCCCTGCTCCTAGAGCAAAGAGCAGGTTGAGGTGGAAGTCAAAGAGGTAGATGGAAGCCACAGTGGACACTACGATGGAGAAGGAGGTGGCAAAGCCCTTGAGGATGTTGTCAGCATATTTCACCACCACAGCCACCAGCAGGCCGCCAAAAGCTTGGTTCAGGATCACTCCCCACACAAGCGGGGTGTAGCCAAAGAAGAATCCACGCTCAGCCACGGCTGCCCCCTCCGTGGACCACAGCCCCAACAGCCCCAGCAAGGTTCCGAAGATGCCTAGTTGGACGTTACGTAGCCAGACGGAGGCTGCGCTGCCCTTGAGGATCTTTTCAAAATAGACTCCGGCAAAGCCAGATGACAGGCATGATACCACCACGGCCACAAGCCCCACCATGTAGTTCTGTTGCATTCCCTGGCCTCCAGGGGGTGATCTGCCCCCTGCCTGCTGCTGCTCCACTTGGACAATGGCCACACCGACAAAAAGGAGCACAAGGGACAGCCACTGGAGACGGGACAGGCTCTTGCGGAGCATCAGCACAGAGAAGACAGCTGTGGTGAGGATCTTCAGTTGGTAGGTGACCTGAGAAAGGCAGTGCAGTTTAGTAGGCATCCCAACATGCCGTGCGATAGGAGAACGTCCAGCCAGGGTGGGACCAACAGCAAAGGCCCAACCCCTATTCTCTAGATAGGTTCACATTGTTACTAAAACAGACAATGGCCTCCAATGCAGTACTGCAGTTTAGTACCCCGATTCCGTTTCAGATCATACCCTGTTCTCCACATAACAAATTCAGCTAAGGTCTCAAATGGTGTGGCATTGGTTTAACCAGTTCACAATGAACTCACTTTAACCCCTGAAAGCCAATGAAGTGGTAGAGGCTCAGAATCACATACCCAGGAGTGTGCATACCGCAATTCCAAGGAAGTAGAGACAGAGCGCATAAATACAAGCCTTTACGACTGTGGGAACAATGAGAATAAGTGGGCGATACCTGCTAAGTTCTAAGAACCCAGAAGAACAGTTTGCTCTTTCCCCTAACTAACAGAACCAGAATTATACAAAATAGTTTTGTTTTTTTAATGAATAATTTCCCACATTTAGAAAACTGCTGAATTGGTTAATTGGCATAATTTAACCAGATGAAATAATCCTGCTTTTCTGTGCACAGAATATGCAGGGTTCCTCTGTCCACCAGAGAATAGAATAACTGCCAATGAACAGCTGTCTATGGCTCTCACTGTAAGGATAGGGGTGTACTATTAACCAAGGCTTGGAAAATAAAACTATAGGTGTGGTCCCACACAGCAGCGGACATTTCTGGATGCCTCCACATGATTTCACTAAGACCTGCTGCAGGAGCTCTAAGGAATTATTGTAACACATCTCAGGATACCCACCCCTCATGGCTTCATTCAACATTGTGGAGGTGGGAGGAACAGGATGTGCATATCTATATAAAGCGGGTGAATGAAAGTGAGTAGGGCACCCTCTTCTGAATAACCTGCAAGGGAGGACCTAAGACTTGGGTCCCAGAGCTGGTGTCTCACCTGGAAGGTGGCTGCAGGCAGGTTGGAGATGGCCACATACTGGAGGTTGTTTTGGAGGGTGTAAATGAGAGAAGGCACTGCGAGTTTGAGTGTGTCCATATACTGCACCACAATCGAGTCATACAAGGAAGCAGCAAACTGTTTCAGGTTACCTGGGAAAGGAGAGACAGACAGAGAGACCACTGTCTTGGTTGGAAATAAATGTTGTTGTTTTTAACAAGGTTCATTATTTGTAACTGACAAGGGATGAAAGAGGCTGTAATGATGGCTCGGCCGAGCACCCACCAAGCTCTCTCTTATGTGAGTCAACATACAAAAGGAATCCTTTACTTTCTAGTCTGAACAGCAACAGAGGTGTTGGCATTCCATGCACCTGCCTCATGGTGAGCACACAGTTATGAGAGCCAGTGTGGTGTAGTGGTTAAGAGCGGTAGTCTCGTAATCTGGGGAACCGGGTTCGCGTCTCCGCTCCTCCACATGCAGCTGCTGGGTTACCTTGGGCCACTCACACTTCTTTGAAGTCTCTCAGCCCCACTCACCTCACAGAGTGTTTGTTGTGGGGGAGGAAGGGAAAGGAGAATGTTAGCCGCTTTGAGACTCCTGAAGGGGAGTGAAAGGCAGGATATCAAATCCAAACGCTTCTTCTTCTACGAGCCTAGTGCTACTATTCACCTGGCGGGGAGAAGAGTACAAAGTACTACTTTCCCAAGGCCTTGGCTAAGGTAGAAGCATCTGCTGAAGTTTATAATGGGCTGGATGGTAGAAATCCCTAGAAGTGAATGGGCCTGTGCAAGTTTGGCAGGTAGCAGCCTGGGCACCAATCCCTAGACTACAATGTGCAAAACGGAGTAGGCATTAGAGCATAAGAATTTACACAGCTGGTCGTCCCATCTGATCTCAACATTTTGTCTACCAATAGAGGCTTCAGGGAAGTTCACAAGCGGACCCTGAAACCAATAGCTAACACCCTATTGACAATCCCCTCAGGCAGCGTGAGATAATAGCCAGAGATCTTCCAACTAATCTCTTTATAAAGGAATTGATGCTAGTGGCTACCCCCACATCTTAGAGCTATCAGTTCTGTAGGTTAATTATACAATGTGTGACTAATGACTTCCTTTTACTTCAAATCTAAGGCCTATCAATTTAAGTGGATGGTTGAATTTTTGTTTTTTGATAGAGGGGGAAAATAAGAGTGAGAGAGTGTGTGTAAATACTATCATGCATTTATATTTACAGCAATAGCATTATGGTCATAGAGCGCCAAGTCCAGAGGCAAGACAGAGCAAGGACAATTAAATAAAATAAATCACTGACAACAGGAGATTCAAGTTTTCCAAGCTAGCCACTAGCCTTCACCAAAGCAAAAGCTCAATGATCCACCCAGCAAGAACACAGGCTAATGCGCTGGGAATGGAGGATTGCTGCAAGGGTTTCCATCTTCTGAGGCACAGTAGTCCCCACCTTTTTTCTGAATGAAGATGAGCAGCAGGCAGGTGACTCCCTTAAGGATTTCAGCCATAACCACAGCGGAAGTGGCAAAGAAGCGGTCCCCAGGCAGCGTGCGCACATAGCGGATACTGAGGATGAGGGAGGCATTCTGAACCACCAAGACAGCTAAGCTGATGTACTTTCAACCGTCTGTTACCTGGGAAAAGAAAAGTAGGGATCAGCTCAGTATTACACCCTGCAGCGGAAAGCTGTGATAAGCAACTACCAACCAAGGCTTGAACAACAGAGACACATGGGAGATGATGTTTGGGGAACCACCACCTATTCCTATAACAAAGCTGGGTATGTCCAAGGAAGAACACGTACGTAAAACCCCACACAATGGGAACAATCTGAGTTCTCCAGGGCCGAGTCCATCAGTGACCACAGAGGCAGGCATGAGTAACTGGAAGCCCAAGGGTTACATCCAGACTCCCCACTGCAGTTGCCTACCCTGTGGCGACAACCCACTTTGGGAGATGGGGGAAAGGGAAGCCCACCAGCCTCCATCTCCTCAGAAAGTGATCCTCTCATACAACTAGTTGCTGACCAGAGCACTAAAGTCTTCGCACACTAAGCCCTTGTTTGAAACAAGCTGGGTACTGGTAAACATGAACTTAGTGTGGGTGCTTTCTATGTGGCAGGGGTGCAGGGGGGACTCCTTTATCAAACATTTAAACAAAACAGAGGGAAGTATAAGGACACCCCAGACTCAGGGAAATCCATGGAATGATGTCCTAAGGCAGCAATGTCCAACAGGTCATTCGCGATTGACAGGTCGATCACAGAATGATCACGGTCGATCGTGGGCTCCCTTTTGATTGGTGGCTGTAAAAAGAATTGTGTTGGAACCCTCCACCATTATTGTTTTGTCCGTAAAATGGGTGGTCGTTACTGATAATAAACTAGTCTTTTTCATGATTTTTTTTTAGCAGTTTATGTCTTTCCTCCCAAAAAAGCAGCTCAGCAAGTTTATCCTTCTCTTTAAAAAGCTTACCAAAAAACTCAACTACTTTACGGGGGTGGGGTATCCATGCCCCACCCTCGTAAAAAAAGCTCAACAACTTTGCTTCCCGCCCCCCCCCTGCAATGACAATGGGTAGATCACTGCCAGTTGTTTTATGCTGGAAGAAGATTGCAGCCTCTAGGGAGTTGGACGTGCCTGTCCTAAGACATCTAAGGCGGTAGAGAATGAGATGCATTAGGGGATGACTAACAAAAAAGATAAAGTAACACAGTGGTCTCAAGTTTTATAGTTGATGTTATAACTTTTACTGTTGGTACTGAAGTTGATGTACTTTGTAAAGTTGGAAATAAATCAATAGTGAAAAAAGGTAAATGTGAATTAAAATAAAGGGCCCAGAGATTTTTAGGATGAAGGCAAGTCCTGCATTTATGAGAGTTAATCGTTTCCTGCACCAACTGCTGCTGGAGGCTCACCTGATCACCTTGGCTGCTGGCATCAAAGGAAAATGGAATTACTACCATTGAGTATTAGATAAACTTCCTGGCTGAGCAAAATCCCACCCCTCTTGCAATACTTCACATCTACTAATCCAGGTCTCAGAGCTCCAGTGGCATGCGAAAGGTCAGGGTTTTCCACCCCCCTGTTCTGACGCACAAACCGGATCCTAGAGATCCGCCTGCCCTCTGCTTGGCTCAGCAAACAATATCTTGCACCTGCCATGGGAGACACGCGCAGACCTAGCAGGAAGTGGGGACAGAAAAATGGCACAGCCACAGCTTGCTGAACTACATTCCTATGGACAGCAAAGTGTAGCCACCTGATTCCTGAAAGAGAAAATCAAACAGCAAGCAATGGAAATAATTACAATAAACAGCTGTGCAGGCATTCCCCATCTCAGTTCCTGGAGTCACCTATGACGTCCTAATAGGACTGCAGAACTCACTGTTAAGAATAACAGCCGTAAAGGAATATAATGAAGGCTGGCTTTGTTCAGCAACCCACCTCCCACAGGGGACAGGCATGGCAATGATGATGACTTCCTAACGTTTATCCCCAAAATCTGGTAGTCAGAGGTATAATTCCTTTGAAAACGAAGGTGGAACTTTTACACATCATCAGAGTTACCAGTTGGTAAGCCAGCCTTCCAGACCTTCTTTTTGCTAGTAGCTATTACCATTTCTATCCATTCTGATCACAAATCCTCCATCACACTAGAAACTGTTATCAAAATTGTGATGAAATACACTCTCCTGGCTCCCTAAGCTTCCCTTTAACATTTCTTTGAGCTCTCCCTCTCTCTTTTAAAGGGGGGATTTGCAGCGTAACATGGGGACAGACTTTCCTACAGGGATTCACACTTCCAGGATCCCAACCGAAATGACTAAAATACTCCTCCTCCTCCTCTGTGCAGTAAAATTCACCCTCGACCAGATGCAGAGAAGGACAGCATAGCATTCTTTCCTTGTTGCTCACTAGCAGCCGTGTATGTTTGTGTGTATTATATATACATATATATGTATATATGTATATGTATATGTATATTAGGGCTAGCTCTCCCTCTCTCTCTGGCTAGCCCAGTATATGTCTCTCTCCCTCCCTACAGAAATACCAGTGTCTCTCTCATATATACATACATATTGGCATGTCTATCGGGAGAGAGAGGCATCTATATATCTAACTGTCTGTATGATACACGGAGAGAGAGAGAGAGAGACCCGGCCTCAAAGGGAATCCTGCCCCCCCCTTATCCGCCTGCCCTCCCGCAGCCCAGCCCCACGGCAGGTTGCGGGGCGTTGAGGCGAGGGGGATGTGGTGCCCCTCACCGCCTCCCCTGCCCCGCAACTCTCACCTCCTGCGGCCACCGGGCTCCCGCCGCCGCTGCTCCCCGACCCCCCAGCCGCTGCCATGGTGGCAACCGCCGGGCAACCGAGTTCCCCCGCCGCAGCCGGCACTTCCGCATCCCAGCGTCCCGACGCACTTCCGCTTCCGAGGAGCGGGGCGGGAAGTGCGGAAAGGCCATAGAGAGGGGCTGCGAGGGAGCGGGCAGAGCGGCCCTTCTCCTTCCGGAGGACTCCGCGGCTGGAGGAAGGAGGCGGGGCCGCCCGCTGAGAACCATAGAGTCATAAAACCATAGAGTTGGAAGGGACACCCGGGGGTCATCGAGTCTGACCGCCCGCACAGCTGGAATCTCAGCGAAAGCATCCCTGACGGAGGGCCGCCCAACATCTGATCAAAAACCTCCAAAGAAGGAGAGCCCACAGCCTCCCCAGTTCCAGAAAGTTGTTCCTGATGTTTGATTCATAGCTGTCAACTTTCCCCTTTTCTTGCGAGGAATCCTATTCTGTGCAATCTCCACAGAACTTTAGCTTAATGGTTGCCAACAATTTGATTTTAATTAATTTTTATAATGAAATGTTTTTAGAATCTTGTACTGTTTTATTGTTGTTAGCCGCCCTGAGCCCGGCTTTGGCTGGGGGGCGCGGGATATAAATAAAATTTATTATTATTATTATTATTATTATTATTATTATTATTATTGGAATTTCCCTTTAAAAAAGGGAAACGTTGACAGCTATGGGTCGGAATCTCCTTTCTTGTAACTTGAAGCTATTGGTTCGGGTCCTGCCTTCCAGAGCGGGACAAAAAAAAATTATGGCATATAAACCTTGTGAAATAAAAGAATTGGGTGGGTCCTCCAGCTGTTTTCCCTTCCACTCCCCCAGTCCTGTTACCGCTTTCAACTTCGCAGTCCCCTTCCCATCACACACAAGACTGCATTTCCTTAAAAGCAAACAGAAAATACAGGAAGGTCATCTATTCATTTATTTCACTGCATTTATTTCACCCCACCTTCCCCCACACCCAGAGCTCAAGGGCGCATGCGTGGTTCTCCCCCTTCTCATTTAACGCCCACAACAACCCTGCGAGGTAATTAGTCCGAGAGGCAGGGACTGGTCCACAGGGTCACACCCAGTAAGCTTCATGGCCTGTTGTTGTTGTTTAGTCCTTTAGTCGTGACCCCCTGGACCAGAGCACGCCAGGCACTCCTGTCTTCCACTGCCTCCCGCAGTTTGGTCAAACTCATGCTGGTAGGTTCAAGAACACTGTCCAACCATCTCGTCCTCTGTCGTCCCCTTCTCCTTGTGCCCTCCATCTTTCCCAACATCAGGGTCTTTTCCAGGGAGTCTTCTCTTCTCATGAGGTGGCCAAAGTCTTGGAACCTCAGCTTCAGGATCTGTCCTTCCAGTGAGCACTCAGGGCTGATTTCCTTAAGAATGGATGCGTTTGGATCTTCTTGCAGTCCATGGGACTCTCAAGAGTCTCCTCCAGCACCAGAATTCAAAAGCATCAATTCTTCGGCAATCAGCCTTCTTTATGGTCCAGCTCTCACTTCCATACATCACTACTGGGAAAACCATGGCTTTAATTATACAGACCTTTGTTGGCAAGGTGATGTCTCTGCTTTTTAGGATGCTGTCTAGGTTTGTCATTGCCTTTCTCCCAAGAAGCAGGCGTCTTTTAATTTTGTGACTGCTGTCACCATCTGCAGTGATCATGGAGCCCAAGAAAGTAAAATCTCTCACTGCCTCCATTTCTTCCCCTTCTATTTGCCAGGAGGTGATAGGGGATTTAAACCCTGGCTCTCCCAAATCTTTTTTTTATATTGATATCAGTAAAAAAAAGCCTGCTCCTTTTCCCTTATGGGGTACCCAAGAGCCCATATAGAGTCCTTTTGTACGTTCTCTATTGGTAGGAGAGAATAACAGAGGCCAACCAGAAGTTATTGAGAAGCAAAGCAGCTAGTAAGCCTGATCTTTATTAACTGTTGCAACAGGGTGCTCCCCCCACAAGCAGGAGAGAGGAAGAGGACCCCCAGCCATACTCGCAAGCCCTTATACGTATAGACATTTTAAATTCCCCGCCCTGGAGTCTAAGACCACCCCCCAGAAACATCATACATACATCACAGAAATCTGAGTGCTTTGTTTATCTCTTGTCTGGCAAGTTACCTGATTGCATTATCTGGGTTTTGGCCACTCTTTTGTTATTATAACTACTTAATTCCTGAATCTAGGTCACAGGTCACAGGCTCACACCCTCTTCATATCTTGAATGTGCCCTTAAGACAGGATTTGTGAGGACAGGATTTGTGAGGAAAGAGACAATGGGGAGGTTTCCCAATTTGACCTTGCAGAGAAATATTTGAGGTCAATTTGTTCAGGACCTTTTCTGTGGGGTTTCAGATATGTGGTTTATGTATACAGTTATGAACATTTATTTATTTTTATATATGACCTTAAAATTATTATAACAATATATAATATTTTTTATTAAATTTTCTGAATTACAATTTCAAATAAACATTTTACAAACTTTAAAGTATTCAATGACTTCCCTTCTTCTCTTTCCACGGTTCATTTTTCATATCCTATATCCCTGCATATTTTACTATAACCATTCAAATCAATTTTCCACTTTTACATCCATCAAGCATTACCAGTATTTACTCTGTTTAATTTATCCTCATGCTGCCAGTGTTTTCAGCTGTACACAGTTATTTTCCATATATTCAATAAATGTTTTCCAATCTTCTTCAGACCTATGTTCTTCTTGCTCTCTTATTCTATATGTTAAATCTGCAAATTGTGCATATTCTGTCAACTTAAGTTGCCAATCCTCTTTAGTTGGGTCCTTGCTCACTTTCCATTTTGGGGCTAAGAAAATTGGGTACGGTACATAAATAACCTTTTCTGACACCTGGGGATTTCAGTCTGGGTTATCCCCAGCAAAAAGAACTATGGGTTTTTTGGGAAAGTAATTTTAAACATTTTTTTCAGTTCATTATAGATCATTTCCCAATACGCTTTTAGCAAAGGCAAAAGGGCCAAATGCTTTGAATCTGCTTAAAAACACAATTCTTAGAAGCTAAGCTGGTGTGTACACTGCAGTTGAGGAATGGTAGCACGAGGTCAGAAGGATGTTGCCGTGGTTTAAGCAGCAGAGGGAAAACAGCTCTTAGAGGCAAGAATGCTTTCTTCAAAATATGGAAGTCTGGTCTAAATAAGCTTATACCAAGAACAAACTTACTTGGTTTGTAAGGTGCTACTGGACAATTTTTTAAATTTTTTTATATATTTCGACTGTGTCAGACCAACATGGCTACCTGCCTGAATCTGGTCTAAATAAGGAGAACAGAAAGGAATACAAACTTTGGAAAGAAATAAAAAAGAATCTGAGGAATACATTGCTAAAAACAATGGAACAGTGTACATCACATGGAGGATAAATCAAGCTTGTTTTCTCCTGCTCCAGAGGGCAGGATGCAAACCAAGGTACAAGAAAGGGGATTCCAACTAAACATCAAGAATAACTTTCTGACAGTAAGAGCTGTTGGAAGGTGGAACAAGACTCCCTCTGGAGGCTGTCGACTCCCTCTCCTTCCTTGGAGGTTCTTAAGCATAGGTTGGGTGGCATGCTTTAGAATCACGACTCTATGATTCTAAGAAGAAGTTATTTAAATACATTAATAGGGGACCAGCAAAGGAGGTGGGTGAACTCTTGGATGCCAATAACAACCGCAGAGTCTTATAATACCATACTTATAGCATATTCCTATGCATGACGCGGGTGGCACTGTGTGTTAAACCACAGAGCCTAGGACTTGCCGATCAGAAGGTCGGCGGTTCGAATCCCCGCTACGTGGTGAGCTCCCGTTGCTCGGTCCCTGCTCCTGCCAACCTAGCAGTTCGAAAGCACATCAAAGTGCAAGTAGATAAATAGGTACTGCTCCGGCGGGAAGGTAAACGGCGTTTCCGTACGCTGCTCTGGTTCACCAGAAGCGGCTTAGTCATGCTGGCCACATGACCCGGAAGCTGTACGCCGGCTCCCTCAGCCAATAAAGCGAGATGAGCGCCGGAACCCCAGAGTCGGCCACGACTGGACCTAATGGTCAGGGGTCCCTTTACCTTTACTATGCATGACGTTGGTGAATGCATTGCAAATTTATGCAAGCTTCATTAACTACAAACCCCCAAATCTGGGATCCCCTTGAATCTGGTGCCAAAGTTTTTGCAGCATAAAACCTATGTTTTGCAGCGCCCCACAAATGGAGTAATTGATACATCAAACAGGGATTCATAGTTACCATCCAAAAACCAAACATCATCCAATTCACTCCAAACCAGTGCCAACGTTTGGCAACGTTGCAGCGAAAACCCTGCATTTTGCAGCCGCCCACAAATGAAGCAATAGACCATGGGTCGGCAAACTAAGGTCTGGGGGCCGGATGCGGCCCAATCGCTTTCTAAATCTGGCTCGCGGACAGTCTGGGAATCAGTGTGTTTTTACATGAGTAGTATGTGTGCTTTTATTTAAAATGCATCTCTGGGTTATTTGTGGGGCATAGGAATTCGTTCATTTCCTCCCCCAAAATATAGTCCAGCTCCCCAAAGGTCTTAGGGACAGTGGACTGGCCCCCTGGTGAAAAGGTTTGCTGACCCCTGCAATAGACCCTCAAACCAGGGAGTCCCAGGGTCACCCAAAACCCCAAAGTTTTCTGATTCACTCCAAACCAGTGCCAAGGTTTGGCAAATGTTTGGCAGCGTTCTGCAGCAAAAACCCTGGGTTTTCCAGCGCACCAAAAACAAGCTCCATTTGTGGGGTGCTGCAAAATGTGGGGGGTTTGTGGTAAAACTTTTGCCAAGGTTTGCCGCCAGTTTGGGGTGGATTGGACAATGTCGGGTTTTTGGGTGTTAACTACGACCCCCGGTTTGATGTATCAATTACTCCATTTGTGGTGTTACCGGAAAAATCCGAGGGCTCCCTTGGACAAAACAAAGACACCAACCAGGATAACTTGGAGCAAAACAGCAGCCTGCAGGCTTGGCCTTTATTGAACTGATGCATCAGGGTGTTCCCCTCACTTGCAGGAGAGAGGAAAGACCCAGAAAAATAGTGTGCCAGGTCTTATAAAAAC